TGACAAATATTCATTGCAGCCATCACTTTGGCCTCTCGATTTTCACCCTCAAGAGTATCCCCATACCTCACAGCCAAACAAGAAAATCACCTCACATGATAAGTTATTCCTCATGTGCCTAAAAAGGCACTCACTCTTTCTCCTGAGGAAGAGCAACTCAGATCACATTGGTGATAGTAACCAGACTCTGGATCAGGAGTTTTCGATAGGGTCCATTATTTCTCTAATTCTGTGATGATCCCATCTCAATATTCCACAGCTGATGGACACATTGTAAAGTTATCAATGTGACAGTGGAGCAAACAGAGAGAAAAAGAGAAAGTAGGTAAAATATACAAACATACGCTGGATAGAATGAGGATGGAAACAAGAGTAGAGATCAGAACCCTCAAATCTGTACCAAATCAGGAGGCTATCATTGGGTTTAGGGACTCTGCCATGCCGTGGATCCTTTGACTTCAGCTGGTATCTCAGCTTGTTACTGCTCTTCACCTGATGAATTGACCCCCAAACCTTTAATCCACTGGAGTCTGATTCCTTGGCTCAGATATGCTGCCTGTGTTCTGAGGGTTCTGGTAGTCAGCCCTGTCTGCTTATCACTGGTGTTTTCATGCGAGGAGGACCTCATGGGAGCCCTTTAATTCCATTCATATTTCTGTGTTTCGGCACACCTAGTTCCCCTTAATAGTTAGGATTAACCCTTCTAGACAATGTAAGACCAATTTAGGACTCATCCTATATTTTGCTTATTTACTCATTGGTACACAGATCCCAAGTAGCCATTGTCAATTGTGAAATCATTCCCTCCTGGGTTCAAAACCAGCAGAACCCAGAGTCACAGAGATGGCAGCATAAAATTTGAAAGTGGGTCATTAGGAGTAATAATGACATGTGACAATCCCATTTCTGTCCCTTCATTCCTAGAGCCATGTATTCTGGCTGTGGAAGCAACAGCAATGTATTTTGATTGAACCTTAAATAGGTTTTTCCTATGTTCTTTAAAACTAGCTGCTTCCGACAGATAGCGAGTATATGATAAAACCTGCAGATCTCATGGGAATGAGATTATAACCTACCTTTTTTCATTGTAAAGTTAATTCCTTGGTCATAAGTAATGGTGTGTGGGATACCATGACAGTAACTCCATAGATGATGGAGCTGGCAGAAGCATTGTGATAAGGAAATCAATCCAAATACAGAATAAGTATACATTTCAGTGAAAATATTACATTGCTACCCAGAGGAAGGGATTCAGTGTAGTTAGCTTCCCTTCAGAGAGGTGGATGTTTCACCCAGAGAATGGTTATCTCAGGGTTGTTCCCTGCTGTTGTCAAACTGGGTACTCATAGTAGCAGTAGCTAAGCCAGTTTTGCTAAGGCAAAGTCTATTTTGTGGAGGTGATGTATAACCTCTGCTCCTGACAGCATGGATAGTTTGTTTATGAGTCCTTTGAACAGCAATGGAGTGGCTGGGGAAGGAAGTTGCTAGACAAGGTCATCTTTCCCACCTGAATAACTAAGACCCTCCTCCAGGGTAGGAAATTTCTGCTGAGCATTGACATGGAACACAAATATTCTCACACTCTAGGCCCATTCAAAATGTCTATCAACATACCTTATCCCTACATCTCTTTGTCAGCAATCTTCAAATCTTCTTCCGACCAGAGCTCTGACCATAGAGTCATTCCATTAATCTTTTTCCATCACGTGAATTTGGATTAAGTTCATCTGCATATCACAGAAAAACTCAATGTAGTGGCTTAAGCAAGAAAGAAGTTTATAACCTAGAGAAGTCTTCAGCTGTACCATTCAGGGCTATCACTACCTCTTCTTCTTTAGGTGTGATCCTCATCCCTTGATCCAAGATAGCTTCTTGAGCTCTAGACATCATGTTTCCTTCTAACTGGAGAAAGGAGGAAGGGGGCAGATAGCAAACTATGATTTCTTTCATAAGCCTCTCTGGAAATGACACATGACATTACTGCTTACATCTCTTCATTAATCACATGTCTACATCAAGCAATGTGCCTAGCTAAAATCACCAAGACTGAAGGGGACAGTGGATCTTGAAAGGCAATTAACAGTCTCTCCCGTATACATAAATCAAATATTCTTACTCAGGCCATATCTCCTTCAAGGTAAAGTAGACAGGTAAAATCTTTTCCACTGTCTCTTCGAGGCCACTTGCAGGTGGGTGAGATGGGGGCTGTAACTTCGGAGTCTGCTTCTAGCTGATGCTAATATACTTTGCAGCATTATTCTTAAACCAGGCTTGTTTTTTCTCCCCTTCACCAGTGAGTTGGCTGGAATACATTTCCTATGACCAAAGGTGTAAATTAAGGAAGGAGTATCAGTATGGAATGCGTAGTATTTATTCAGAGAGAGTAAAAATCTTCCCCATGACCCTCCAGTATCTGGTGGGCCTGAACTTATACATACTTCTTCCGTTTGATGTGGGGAACTGCTGGGCATGTTTGGCTTTATGTGAAGGGGTTAGATAAAACTCAGTTCAGGATGGACAGCTCAGGTCACATGGTCACTTGGTGGTCTATGGTCAGACATTCTGTCTTCATCAAGGTCAAGCAGCAAGCCAAGGAATGCTCCTCACAAGGAGAGTATTTACTTGCTCCAACTCCAAGGCCAGCTATTGTGATGCTTCTAATGAAGCTTGTATCTAGACAGTATCTCCATCTTTCACAGACACTTCAAGGATCTCCTACATCATAATGACAAGTAGCAGACTTCTTATACTTCAGCCTAGACTTGTTGGAGAGCTTGCTTTTACTTTGGTCCCCACTTAAAGCTAGCAGTCTTTCAGTTTAGCTGGGTCACTACAGCTAACCCAAACACAGTATACAGTGCCTCCAAAATTCAAAGAGGCCTGGCAAGTGAAATGTATCTTTCTTTCTTAAGGGTATGGAGTATAAGATGCGTAAATTTGTCCTTTATTTTACAGTGCAAATACATGTATTTTCATGGGCTCTATCTTCTGTCTTCACCTAAGCATATATTTTAAATGGTCTGAATAGTATTTGTCATTTTATGTTTCCAGATACACTTAATATGTTACAAAAGTACTTGATCAGTGTGATGACCTATGAGATATTAAGACAGTCAAGGTCCCTGCAAAATTATGTTTCAAGCTAGTGAGTTGAAATATACCTGAGGTGCTGTCATAAAAGTATACTGCTTTCCCTGCCAGGTCAAAGAAACTTGATCTGGGTTTTTTAATTTATTAGGCTAGAGCTGGTGTCAGAAAATTACAGCTTTCTGTTCTTGTAAATCAAGTTTTATTGGAACACAGTGATATGAATTCATTTATGGATTCTCTATGGCTGCTTTCATGCTACAAGGACAGAGTGGAGTAGTTGAGACATACTATATGGCCAGCAAAGACTGAAATATTTACCATCTTTATTGGCAAATTTTCTAAATCCTGGGTTGGAGAAATAACTTGTTAAGTCAGTAGTTGCAAAACAGTTTCGAGGGAGCTGTTTGGTTTGCCCACATCTGTTTAGATGACTACAAATGCTGTCTCTATGAGATTGAACATCAAATAATTCACTGTCATTTTCCCAAGATTATACTCTTTTCATTCCAGCCAAATTGGACATATAAATGGACATGTGATAGGAATCATCTTCTTCTCTCACATATAAAAAATATTTCATGATGCCCCCAATCTTGGTAATTTCTCAGAAATGCAGAATTGCTTTTGGTTTTCAATTTTGGAAAGGAGGGGAAATCCTTGAGTTTCCACTTGGTCTTGTCTACTAAAATAGTCCTTACTCTATGGGTTAGAAGGCAATGAAAGTATTCTTGAGCTGAGGATATCTATATTTTTGGTAATCATGGATAGTATGACAGTCCCATTGGACCTCTGGTGAGGTGGATAAAGTTAAAGAAAAAGTCAGCATATCATGTGTCCTTTATTATCTCTACTGTGATTGGTAGACTGTAGTGATATCTGGGAGCTCTGGGAGTTAGAATTACCCTTGATTCCGTGTAACAATAGTTTTCCAAAATTTTGGGTATTTCCCTTTTTTCCTAGTGCATGGTTATACTGATGAATAGCTAAAGGTCCCTTTGGAGAAGAATCGGAAGAAGAGTCACAGTACCCACTTGTGGTGTTACTTCAGGTTCCTTCTTTCCTCAATGGAACCCAGACTTTTCTTTACCAACTCTGTGAATGGATTCAGGACTGAAAATTGGGCAAAGTGTTGTTACTCTTAGGACTTTGTGTTTTTTATTCAAGTCAAGTAGGACCTTAGCAGTTTAACTTTATATTTTTATTCCAGGGACCAAATAATAAATTAAAAGTCACCAAAGTTTCACATGGATCAGAACATTTTAATTACAATGATGACATTACTGTCTATAAGAGCAGGAAGGGGAGGAAGGTAAGGCAAGCAAGGTGCCTAGGATACAAAATTTAAGGAGGCACTCACTCTCGGGGGTAACATGAGTGCTAAGCCCTTCACTGCCACAACCTTGAGCGTGAATGTCTCCTTAAATTTTGTGTCCGGTGTGTCTTGATTGCCTCGCCCTAGTCCCAGTCCTGTAGAATAGTAATCATGTGTTTCTACTTTACCTTGGATTGCTAAGTACTGCTTCTGGGTCTCCAACATCTCTAACACATTGGATTCATTCATTCCTGTTGATATTGAAGAGACCATTTCACTTGCGGTGTCTCCCCAGCTATGGTGAATGTGTGCTCTGCTTTCCAGATCCCCGTTTTAGGGCAGAGACACACTCATTCCATCAGCTTCTGGGGATGTTGCTAGCTGAGGACTGTCAGCTGAGTTGCTCTCCAGGAATTGCCTTTATAAGCTGAAGAAAGCCACTTCATCCAAGGTCATGCATCTCGTAGGGGTCAGACTTCAAGGTGAAGCTGGATACCTTGCTTCAAACTTAGGCATCCTAGCTCCAGAACTCTTGGTGGGATTGTATTGCAACTCAACCCCTCTCTCTGCCTAATTCTCCTGCTTCACCCTCCCACAGATGTTCTCATCATGAAAACATTTACCAGTAAATTTCCTGCATACAAATCTTCTCTTAGAGTGTGTTTCCCAGAGAACCACAACTATGAGAGTTGGTGCCAGGTGTGGTATGAGGAAGCCAACCCTACAATGAGATTTTGGAGCCGGATCATCTTCCAGCTGACTGGCATTGAGGACAGCATCAATGGTGACAAGTGGAACAGAGATCACCCCAGGCTTGTAGCAATGCATTCATTAAAACTGTCACAGTTGGTGTACTGGGATGGGATACCAATGGAAAGGAATTTATGGGTGGATTGTGGAAAGGAATGCAGAGGTAGGGGCAATACCACAGGTGTCTGAGAAGTTTGGTGGAAGTAGTTATTATAAGAACTGTGGAATTGGATGGCTATTCCTGAGGAAAATTAATCAAATAGAGTAAGACAATGAAAACTGAGGGATATTAATTATTAATTAAAGGTTAAGTATGAAAGTCAGAAGGCCTTTTGGGCAGCATATAAGCAGACGCTTAAAAATCAAAGGGATCAGGCATAGTGCATATAAGAATACTAGTGCTCCAGAGGTGGTTGAATTTTTAACATTAGAAAGTCTGTGACACCAAGGCCATGGCCCTGACTGGGAAAGAGTAGTAGCCTATGACATGAAATGGGGAAATCGGAACTTCCTAGGGCTGCAGAAAGGGCCCACTATTCCCTGTTAAAGGACCTTCCCTCCCACCCTCTTGCTTGAAAACAACTTGGAAGCCTCTGTCACGCAAGACAATAAGAAGTCCCCTTGGGATCCACACCCATCTCACATCCTGGCTACCAGGTCAATAATTAGGGTCAAATCACAATAAAACTCATCTGTGGAAGTGCTGGCCCGCTAAGGAAGGATAGCAACTCTACCTGGAAGGAAGTGCAAGAACTTACCAATATGGTAGCTGCTGCTGGGAGGATGGGTATGGAACTGGGTCCTGAGGGTGCTGCATGAAGGGAAGTTAGAACATAATAAAGGAGTTTATCACGGGAGCACGCTTCCATGATACATGATTTAACAATATTGGCAATGACCCTGAAAAGAAAGGGAAGGCTCACACCAAGCGAAATAGAAATTCCAGAGCTGCTGTGGTAGGCAGTGAAAAACAGATCAGAAGTTTCAGAGAAGAGGGCATGCTAGAATAGACATACAATCTAAGGTCAGCGAGCCCATTAGCTGATTATGTTCTGGGAAAGGGCCCAGAGAATAGTCTATTTATCAATGTATTAAACAAATGCTCTGGTGAGAGGGCACCAGATTCACTGAAATGCTCACTGGTATTTGTCCTTGATGATAGGAGACGCTGATATAGAACTGAGCTTCCTGGTAACAAGGGGATAATAGGATTCTAAAATAATAAAGACCTGTTGGTCTTTAATCATCAGAAGAAATGAGGCTACAAAATCAGAGGGGCATGGGGTGAGTGGGTTTGACCTCTAAGAAGGCTAAGGGTTGGTTAACAGAAGATGTCTTCCCTAGGAGCAAGACAGAAGGCAGGCAATAAGGGTATTGCTTAATTTATGCAACAAGAGAAATCAAGGATGGATGATAAAAGGGCTGAATGCATCCAGACCCAAAAGTCATGATCCTTTGCTCAGTTTCCAGACCCCGAGCTGTTTTAAGACCTAGAACCCCTGAATTAAGGGAGAGGCCATATCTCCAGGAGGAAGGACTCTGCAATACCATGGCAAGTGTATATGGTGACAATCCCCCTAGTCCTTTCCCAAGGACACCTATGGCATTTACGCAGATAACCAATCACTGGGTAAAAGGCAATACCCAAACATTACAAGGACTGTTGGACCTGGGGTACAATTTAACATTGCTATCCAGGGAACCAAAACATTTTTGTGGACCACTTTTATAGTGGGGGCAAATGGGAGACCAGGTAATAAATGGAGTCCTGACTCAGGTCCGTCTCACAGTGGATCTGAGGGTTCTATAGACCCACCAGTGAGAAAAGTCTTCAAAGGACTTTTCTGTATAACAGGAAAGAATAAAAGGAAAGTAAATACCAAGTTTCAAGAAACCACAACAGCCTAATTTACATAATACAAGTTATTCAACCTACCTTGATGGACTAGGTTAGGACTAGGTTCATGTATATTGACCAAAAACTCAAACAAAGAATGGCATAAAAATATGAATTCATTCACTCTTGTAAAAGAAGCCTGCAGGTCTATCATAGGGGACTCAGACACTGATTTTTCTCTTCCACCATCCTTAACATGAGGGCTCTATTTTCAAGGTCATTTTATAGTCTGATATGATTGCTGGAGCTCCAGCCATCATGTACATATACCAGGAAGGAAGAATAGAAAGGAACAAGCGCCTTAGTGTATGCCCTCCCTTTAAAAAGAGCCTTCCTGAAATTTTTACCCAACTTCTAATGTAACTTGTAGTTACATTTGATTAGCTAAACTTCGTTTCACATGGCCATGCTAAGTGTCAAGGGAGGATGATCAATAATAGTTTATCAGCAGAGAAGATTGTTTCCTTGAATAAAGTGGGGTTCTAAGAACAAAGGGGAGAATGGACATTGGATGGACAATAGCCCTGTCTGCCATTGCCAAAGACGGCATCCATGGCTCAGAAGCTATATTCAGTAGATGTTCTTCAGCTTTAAAGAACTGGGAAAAATCCAAAGCCACATTGCCTGTATTTTGTCTGTACCTTGAGCTCCTCTCCAGAATCCATGGGGAGTTTTCATCTTAGAACCCATCACCTCAGTGCTCCCTCAGTCTCCCAGGCTGGCTCAAGCCAGAAGAGACAAATTTTTCTCTGGGCTTGTCCTACTTGGTTTCAATTTTTGGCCAGGGAGTCATACCTCTTCCCTAGGTGACTTTCAGTAAAACTCACCATTTTAGGGTAGTATGTTGTGGAATTTTCTGTCCTCTAGCATGGTAGATTCTTATTTTAATGGCTGCCAATGAATCATGCATCTGGTACTCACTCCCTTACGTATTGTATCGCCTTCCCACACTGACGCTGGCCTTGGCCATGTGACATGCTCTGGCCAATGAGACATCAGCAAATGTCAAGCCAGAGACTTGATATGTGCTTTTGCACTGGGACTTGTATTCTTGGATCACCTGTAAGAAAGTGTAAGAAAGCTAGGTCATCTTGTTGGAGAGGTTGCATGGATGAGAACTGAGACTTAACAGCCAGCAGCCCCAGCTAATCTCCAGGCATGTGAGTGAGGCCCTCTTGGATCTTCCAGCCCTAGATAAACTACCAGATGATTGTAGCCACGTGAGAAATCATGAATGAGAAAAATCCCAGAACCACCCGGCTGAGCTCATTTGCAGAATCATGAGTAAATAAATGGTTACTGTTTCAAGCCATTATATTTTGAGGTGATCCTTTATGTAGAAACAGAAAACTGAGACATATTGGAAATTGCTCAGAGAAGTTATGGCTAGGGTTAGGGTTATGGGTTGGTCATATCCCCTAACCACAAGGCTATGGTTTTAAGAATGTGCTCTTCAGTAAGCATGTGTTGTTTTTGGCCACCCAGCATCCGTTCCTCCCTCATTTGGTAAGAACACTAGGATTTTACTCAGGGCAATCAATTATTCAATTCTCACATGTGATTCCTTTGGCCACAGTGTTTAGACAGGAAGAAGTAGGTGACTTAATTCAGACAATTAAATGTCTGGTCCAGGACTTTTGTTCAAACTCTCTTTTCATCTAGAAAGCAGACTCTGAAGTTATGAAAGATCTGAGGAAACTGGTCTGGCCCTCCTCTTTGGTAATGGAGACATACCAAATAGCCACTGGAAACATACTGAATTTTTACTGTAAAGAAGTTCCTAAAGGAAACCCTCATGTAGAGCTGGAGGGAGTATAAATTGATGCTGCCATTCTGTTGTAATCTGACCATAATAAGTAAAGTAAAAACACATATACATGTTGATGCAGCAAAATATACCCCAGGGAAACTCTACTATAAGTCCAAAAGGGGACACAGATGAAAATCATCATCAGAGCAGTTTCTGGTAGCAGAGAATGGACACAGGTATCAAAAACTAGGAGAATGGGAGTTCCCTGGTGGCCTAGTGACTAGGATTTGGCACTGTCACTGCAGTGGCCAGGGTTCGATCCCTGGTCGGGTCACTGAGATCCTGCTAGCTGCACAGGGAGGCCAAAAAAAAAAAAACAGAAACTGGAGGAGTGAACAAGTAAAATATGGTAGAATACTATGCGGCATTCAAAAGTAATGATGTAGGCCAGCAACATGGCAGGCTAGGAGGTCTCAACGCTTGCCTGCTCAACAAAAACAACAAAACAATAAATGAGCAACTACAAACTGATAAAAATAGCTCTGAGAAAGCTCTGGACTGTAGTGAAGAAGTAGTAGAAACTCTGCAGGGCTCAAAAATGGAGGATGGCCACATGGAAAAGAGTAGGAAGCATTTTACCTGTGTCACCCATCCCCCAGTCCAAAGCAGCTTGGCACTGAGCGGGCTCCCCTTGGAGGGATTTTACCCCAAGGGGCAAGGGACAGCAGTAGAAACCCAGCAAGCCTCATTGCTGTGGACGTTTGCAGGCTTTGCTACTGAGGACCCCCGCAGTCCTCACCAGCACCAAACTCAGCTAATGGAGCTGCCCACTGCTGTGTCCCCACTGCTGTGTCTTCCCCAGGGTTGAAACTGTCACTGTGGTGACATAATAAAGGCTATATATGACAAGTCCACAGCTAGCATCATACTCAACATTGTGAAGTTAAAAAGACTTCCCCCCTAAGATCAGGAACAGCAGACGGCCACTCTCACAAGGAAAAGGCAAGGAAAAGGAATAAAAGGCATCCAAATAGGAAAGGAAGAAGTAAAATTATCTCTGTTTGCAGATGACATGATCTTATATATAGCAAACCCTAATGGCTCTCTGAAAAATTGTTAGAACTGTACATGAATTCGATAAAGTTGCAGGATATAAAATCAACAAACAAAAATCAGTTATGTTTCTTTACACTAACAATGAACTATCTGAAGAGAAATTAAGAAAGCAATCCCATTTACAATGGCATCAAAAACAATAAAATACTTAGGAATAAATATAGCCAAGGAGGTGAAAGACCAGTACACTAAAAACTATGGCATTGATGAAAGAAGTGGAAGAAGACACAAATAAATGGAAAAGATATCCCATATTCTTGGATTAGAAGAATTAATGTTCTTAAGATGTCCATACTACCCAAAGCAATCTATAGATATAATGCACTGCCTATCAAAATTCCAATGGCATTTTTCACAGAAATAGAAAAAACTGTCCTAAAATTGTATGAAACCACAAAAGACCCCTAATAGCCAAAACAATCCTGAGAATGAAGAACAAAGCTGGAGGCATTATACTTCCTGATTTCAAACTATACTAAAAAGCTATAGTAATTAAAATAGTATGGTTCTGCCATAAAAGCAAGCATATAGATCAGTGCATCAGATTTAAGAACCTAGAAATAGACCCATGCATATGTGGTCAACTAATCTTTTTTTTTTTTTAATTGCGGTGCGCAGGCCTCTCACTGTCATGGCCTCTCCCATTGTGGAGCACAGGCTCCAGACGTGCAGGCTCAGTAGTTGTGGCTTACGGGCCTAGCTGCTCCGTGGCATGTGGGATCCTCCTGGACAGGGGCACGAACCCGTGTCCCCTGCATTGGCAGGCAGATTCTTAACCACTGTGCCACCAGGGAAGCCCAGTCAACTAATCTTTGACAAGGGCACCAAGAATGGAGAGTCTCTTCAATACATGGTGTTGGGAAAACTGGATATCCACATGCAAAAGAATGAAATTGGACCTCTATCTTACACCACTCACAAATACTGACTTGAAATGGATTAAAGACTTAAATGTAAGACCTGAATCCATAAAACTCCTAGAAGAAAACAGGGAAAAAGCTCCTTGACATTGGTCTTGGCAATGATTCTTGGATAAGACACCAAAGCACAAGCAACAAAAGCTAAAATAAACAAGTGGAACCACATCAAACTAAAGAGCTTCTACACAGCAAAGGAAACAGTCAATAAATTGAAAAGGCAACCTATGGAATGGGAGAAGATACCTGTAAACAATATCTGATAAGGGGTTAATATTTAAGATATATAAGAACTCATACAACTTAACAGGAAAAAGCAAATAATCCAATTAAAAAATGGACAAAGGACCTGAATAGACTTTTTTTTTTTCCAAAGAAGACATACAACTGGCCAATACGGATATGAAAAGATGCTCAACATCACTAATCATCAGGAAATGCAAATCAAAACCACAATGAGATTATCACCTCATACCTATTAGGATGACTCTTACCAAAAAGGTAAGAGATAACAAATGGTGAGGATGTGGAGAAAAGGGAACGCATACACTTTTTGGTGGGAATGTAAATGGGTACAGTCATTATGGAAAACAGTGTGGTGATTCCTTAAAAAATTAAAAATAGAGCTTCCATATGATCCAGGAATGCCACTTCCGGGTATATATCCAAAGGAAATAAAATCAGTATCTCAAAGAGATATCTGCATTACCGTGTTCATCACAGCATTACTCACAATAGCAAAGATATGGAAGCAACCTAAATATCCTTCGATGGATGAATGAATAAGAAAAATGTGATGTATATGTATATGTATGTATGTATTGCAATGAATATACAATGGAATATCATTCAGCCATAAAAAAGGAAATCCTGCTATTTGCGACAACATGGATGAAAATTCAGGACCTTATGTTAAGTGAAGTAAGGCCAGAGAAAGAAAATTACTATACACTGTATGGTATCAGTGGAATAAAGAAAAAGTTGATTCCATAGAGAAACAGTGAATAGAATAGTGATTGCCAGGAGCTAGGAGGAGGGGCATTGAGGAGATGCGAGTCAAAGTGTGTCAACTTTCAGTTATAAGAAGAATAAGTTCTGAGGATCAAATGTACAGTCTGGTATTGTACCCTTGGAAGTTGCTAAGAGTAGATTTTAAGCATTCTCACCCCACACACACACACACACACACACACACAGACAAATGAGTTACCTCTATGAGGTGATATATGTGCTAATCATCTTGATCTTGGTAACTACTCCACAATGTATATCACACCATCACGTTGTACATTAAATACGTATAATTATATTTGACAATTATTCATCAATGAAGAGATGACTAGTTCTAAAAACTAAACAAAATGAAACTAATGATGTAGATTTTCCCCCTAATAGTTTTGTTAAGATCAATCCATGACACTGTCTGTGAAAATAAGAAGTAGCATAATACAGTTTCTGTATTAGAATAACACATGTATGCACAAGACACACTCTTTTTTAAGAATATAGACTTATCTACAGCATGTATTAAACACATAAAGAGGATCTTATAGGGTGAAAGGAATATGAAGGGAGCAATGAAGGGGAGAACTTAAAATAAGACAAGAACCGTACAGATTGATCATGAATGTGCCAAGAATTGAGGTTATAGTTAATTAAAACAGTTGTACCTGAGGTTAAACAAAAACCCCCAAATGATTCACTAGAACATGAATGACTTGCAATTTGAGACAATTTGTACACTTATATACACTTGAATATGACAAGTTGCCCAAGTGGAAAGTCATTTCCATATCTCACCTCCAGACTTCCAAAAGTCTGCAAAGCAACAGGGTTTATGTTAAAATAATTCTTACTATTTTCCCCAGGCAGTTAGTAAAGGGAAAAAGAACATAAAGGCTGAAAAGGGAATATTTTTGTGGGAAGGATGAAGAGAAAAGAAGAGCATTTAATGTAGAGGAATTACCAACAACTGAAAAGTAACAATGTTAACTTGATGAAACAGTTTTCTCCACTAATGTCAGGGCGAAATTTGATGTCACAAGCATGATCACCAAAAATATGAGAGGGCAAATGTCAAGCATTTTCCTGATGTTTTCCTCATGGCATTCTATTCTATTTTAGTCTCATGCATCAGCTTTCCAAGATATAATACCTCTTGGAATGTACTTGCTGGAAAGAAATAAAAAACTATATCTCACAACATTGTACACGGTGGTAACACAAATTTTCCTCATAATCTTTAATTCCTGTTCACAGCGTTACAAAAGATAATGTACTGAGTTTTTCTTTTTTCTTTTTTTTTAGAATACTGCATTTTTCTCTTAGCGAGGAAATAATCACAAATTAGGTATGAGTGATGAGGTGCTGGTATGTCAATGTGTTAAGATCTCTTGAAGTTAGTATTTAGGATCTTTGGCTTATGATATTATTTGCATAATCGTAACTCCAACGTGATGATATCTGAATATTTAAAAAGTTATTTTAGAAGTTATGTATATGAATATATATGAGCTAATTTCTCTTTGAATTATCTTTTTCCTTTCACTGCTGTATTATTTCTCTTCTAAATTCTGTTTTATAGGAAACTTGCATTTTTTGGATTTATCATTGGTGAAATGAAATTTCAAGTGCCTACTACATCATTCTTGAAGGAGAGAGTGCAGGATTAAAGAAAAAAAAATATCCCAGCCCTCATGGAGTTTACATTCTAGTGGATTAATGCTGATTAATTTGGAGTATAAACTGCTCAATATTGTGATGCAATAACATTAGGAAAATGGTTTTTATAAGATTTTAAAAAAATGTTATGTTTATATGATGAAATTTGATATATTTTTGTCCTGATAATGTTTCTCTTAAACTTTGCACACGCGACTATCACATAGATTCAAATATAACTTGGGTCAAATCATATCCCCAAATAAAACAAGTGAATGTCTGATGCAATAGGTTTAAGCTAGAGAACACCATTGTCCTTGACACACTGTAGATGTTTAAAAAGGTTTTTTGAATTGGACAAGAGCATTAAGCCCTGGGTCTGACATTTTTACAGCCTGGGTTTTAATACATTAGGACATTCTACTCTTTTCTCATTACTTATGGTAATATCCATGATCTATAAATTAAATACATTCCTTCCAGTACAATCCTCTTTGTGCTTCCATACAGCATTTGCTCCCCTTTATCTTGAAGGTCCGGCCCCTTGCAGGCACCAGCCACTTCTATTTCTTCCATTTTTAAAACTGCTCTCTGATTTGCCCCATTTCCCCTTGCTCCCTTTAGCCTGAGTTTCTGGAGGAGCCTTAAAGCTGTGAAGGGTAGCTATGCGCATGAGCTCTTGT